AAGGACATCTGTCTTTTAGAAATAATTTTGCATTAGTTGATTGTGGCGGTTTGAAAGAAAATGGCCCCCAAAGGGAGTGGCACTATTAGGAGGTGTGGCCTTGTTGGAGCAGGTGTGGTCTTGTTGGAGGAAATGTGTCATTTTTGAGGTGGGCTTTGAAGTCTCATATATGCTCAAGCCACACCCAGTGAGTCAGTTCACTTTCTGTTGCCTTTGGGTCAAGATGTTGGACTCTCAGCTCCAGCACCATGTCTGCCTGCACGCCACCATACTCATAGCCGCCATACTCCCTGCCATGATGATAATAGTCTAAACCTCTGGAACTGTAAGCCACCATCTCAATTAAATGTTCTCCTTTATAAGAATTGCCATGGTCAGCTGGGCGGTGGTGGCACATGTCTTTAATCCCAGCACTCGGGAGGCAGAGGCAGGCGGATCTCTGTGAGTTCGAGGCCAGCCTGGGCTACATAGAGAAACCCCATTTCAAAAGAACAAAGCAAGGAAGGAAGAAAGGAAGAGAGAGAGAGAGAGAGAGAGAGAGAGAGAGAGAGAGAGAGAGAGAAGGAAGCAATAAAGTAAATTAGATAAAATTAAAACAAACAAACCCACCACTTTACACACACACAGAAATCTCATAATCTCATAAACACACACAACTGGAAACCATAACATGTATGCAAAGGACTGATAATGTAAAGAAAAGAAAAAAGGTGCTGACAAAGAATTGAGACAAAGAACCTCCAAAGCTGCCACTGCGTGTGTTTTTTCTGGTGGTCATCTACTGCTGGCCTGGGGCCTGGCCGAAGAGTTGTTTGTGTATCTAGTGAGACTCCATTGGAGAAAACGGATTTTTCTTTTGAGAACAATTATCATTTGGAGATAGCGTTTGTGTTAGAGATGGAGGCTTATGTCCACTTCCCCTCTCAGTGCTGGAACCCCCCTGTACAGGCCCTGTGCATGCTGCCACAGTTTCTGTGAGTTCATATGTGTGCTGGTCCTGCTGTATTGAGAAGGCCTTGTTTCTTTGGCGTCTACCATCCCCACTGACACTTACACTCTTTCCTCCTCCTCCTCCTCTTCCACTGAGTTCCCTGATACGTGAGGGGAGGGGATTGATGGAGACCTCCCATTTAGGACTGAGTGTTCCAAGGTCTTTCACTCTCTGCACATTGTCTGGCTGTGGGTCTCGGCATTAGTTCCCATCTACTACAGGAGAAAGCATCTCTGATGATGACTGAGAGAGGCACTGATACTTAGGTATAGCAAAATGTCACTAGGTATCATTTTATCGCTTCAATTCTTTAGCAGGACAGTAGTATTTGGTTTTCCCCTACATGCCTGGCCTATCTTTGGTTTTTGGCCCCCTGAACAGTGCCGGGGATGGGTTCCATCTCATGGAGTGGGCCTTAACTCAAATCAGGTATTAGTTGGTTAGTCCCATACCTTTGTACCGCTACTGCAGTACTGCATCTTGCAGGTAGACAGACCACCCTTATACATCAAAGGGATTATAGCTGGGTTGGTGTTTACCATCACCTTTGGTAGTGTGCAGAGTGCCTTCCTATACCATGAGCACTAGTCATTAAGGATGAAGGCTCTAGGTAGGGACCAGCTTGACTTCTCCATGTTCATTGACTTGTGTAGGTGCTTCAACAATTGGTCCTTAGCATCAGTTTGTGGGTAGCAACCAATAACCTTGGCAACAGCCTGGTTGCTTGGGGGTTCCCATGGGGCTCCCTTTGGTCAACAACTCCATTAAATGTAATCCATTCCTTCAACAGGATGCTTCATTTGGTGATGAGAGATGTCCATCTGGGGCTCCATCTCCCCATTATTTGGCAATTCCATTTAGATCACCTTTATAATATGTATATATTTTAGGAAGCTTCTACTGTATTAGGTTTCCATACTACCCTTCAAATGGCCCTTAATTTTAGCTGTCCCTTCCCATATTCCCTCCCTCACCCTCTCTTCCCTCCTCCCCATTTGATTCTTCTGTTCCATTCACCCCCTGTCTTAGTCAGTGTTCTGTTGCTGAGAAGAGACACCATGACCATGGCAACTCTTATGAAGAAAGCATTTAGTTGGGACTTGCTAACAGTTTCAGAGGTTTGGTCCATGATCATTAGGGTGAGGAGCATGGCAGTATGCAGGCAGACATGATAGCTGAAAGTTCTACCTCCAGATCTGAAGGCATCAGGAAGAGAGTGCCAGGGGCCTGGCTTGGGCTCTTGAAACCTCAAAGCCCACCCCCAGTGACACACTTCCTCCAACAGGGCTGCACCTACCCTAACAAGGTCACACCTCCTAATCCTTTCAGTTAGTACCACGCCCTGGTAACCAAGCATTCAAATCTATGGATTTATGGAGGCCATTCTCATTGAAAGCACTATACCCCTAATCCATAACTATCCTCTTTCCCCTCCCTAGGATGATCCAGCCTCCTTCCTAGTCCTTTACTGTACACCTAACCTCTGTGGTTATATGGATTGCAGCCTGCTTATTGAAGCCTTAACAGCTAACATCTACATATAAATGAATGCACACCATATTTGTCTTTTGGGTCTGGGTTACCTCACTGATTTTTTTTTTTTTTCCACCTAGCTCCATCCATTTACCTGCAAATTTAATGATTTTATTTTTTTGTTCAAACAGCCGAGTAATACTCAATTTTGTAATTTACCACATTTTCTTTATCCATTCATCTTGGCAGACCTTTAGGTTGTTTCCACTTGCTGGCTGTTAGGAATTGAGCCGCAACAAACGTGGTTGAGCAAGTGTCTCTTGAGTAGGATGAAGCATTCTTTGGGCGTATGCCCAACAGTGGTCTAGCGGGATCTTGGGTAGGTCTGTCCCCAGCCTCCTGAGGAAACACCATCCTGATTTCCATAGCAGCTGTATCTGTTTGCACTCCCACCAGCAATGGATGAGTGTTCCCCTTCTTCCACACCCTCGACAGCGTGAGCTGTCGCTTGTTCTATTGATCCTGGCATTTTGATTGGTGTAAGATGAAGTCTCAAAGTAGTTTTGATTTGCATTTTCCTGATGATTGACTTCCTTTCTTAAGTTCGTGCCTCATAGTGGGGGAACAAGTTACATAAAAGCAACTTGCCTAACCTGTACAATCCCAAGTATGATTCAGTATATTAAGGTGTAGCCCTTTTTTTTTTTGAAGGTTTATTTTTTATTTTATATGTATGGATTTTCTTCCTGTATATATGTAAGTGTACCTTGTGGATGCCTGCCTGCTGCCCATGGAGGCCAGAAGAGGGATCAGATCCCCTGGGACTGGAGTTATAGATGCTTGGGAACCCCATGTGGGTACTGGGACTTGACCCTGAGTCCTCTAGAAGAGCAGCCAGTGCTCTTGTGGTATGGTTCAGCCAATGTTCAGCCAATGGTTCAGCCCAGTTAAGGTGTAGTTTAAAAAGAGGGTTAATAATCTCCTTCCCCATCTCCCTCAGTTCCTCTCCTCTTCCACTAGGCAGGTGCTCTATCACAATATACATCACCAGCCATCTCCTCGATTTTTATTTTGAGTCCAAGACTCACCAAGTTCCCCAGGCCAGCCTGTGCTCACTGTGACCCAGGCAGGCCTTGAACGTGGAATCTTCCTGCCTCGGCCGTCTGCGTTGCTGGCACAGGCCTGCACCCCAGGCCTTAGAGCTCCTTCTCAATACCAATGCCATCTCTATCAAGAGTAGAGTTCTTTATCAGAGCATTGTGGTCTGTGTTTCTATATGTCAGTCGCTGTGGAGTTAATGATTTGATTAGCTAGAAGGCATGTTGTGACCAAGTGAAGAATTTTATCTGCCACGAGCTCACTCTCCAAGTGACAGCTTCACGGATTGACCCTAACTCTGATGTATTTCCTTGACAGGTGTCTCCAAGTTTTTCCACAATGGCTTCTGTCTAAGAAAAGACGCAGTAGCTGCCAGTATTCAGAAGGTTGAGAAGATTCTCCAATGGTTTGAAAATCAGAAGCAGCTTAACTTTTACGCCAGCTCATTACTGTTTGTTTATGAAGGTTCATCTCAGCCAGCTACTACAAAATCAAACGATAGAACTTTGGCGGGGAAGTTTCTCTCCAAAGGCCACCTGTCGGACGCAGACGTACTGGAGTGCAACAACAACTTTCACCTGTTCAGCTCCCCGGCCAATGGGACATCAGTAGGCAAAAGCTTATCCAAGGTGTACGCCAGGCACAGAAAGCTGTACTCCAAAAAGCACCACAGTCAGACTTCACTGAAAGTGGAAACTCTGGAGCAAGACAACGGGTGGAAAAGCATGTCCCAGGAACACTTAAACGGAAATGTACTCTCCCAACTGGAAAAGGTGTTCTATCACCTTCCCGCCGCAGGGCGCCAGGAGATCACAGATGTGGAAGTGCGGATGATAGACTTCGCCCATGTGTTCCCTAGCAACACAGTCGATGAGGGGTATGTTTACGGTCTGAAGCATCTAGTTGCCGTCCTTCGGAGTATTTTAGACAGTTGAGTCTCGCTGCAGTCTGTGACGGAGTGGGCCGATCACCGTGGAGAGCCGCGGGCATCAGCTGGGCCCCTGTAACGATGCTCTGTAAAAAGTTTGTATTGTGAGTCAACGTTTTATTTGTCTTTATACTTTTGGTAGAAGGTTAACTTTTTTATATTCTTACTCAGGAATACTAATTTGTTCATTAGAAAACTATGAAGAATAAAGAAACAGGATTGTCGAGCAGGGAATGTGTGGGACAGGGAGTAAATAGCTGTAACACGTTTGCAAACCATTACTCAGCCATTCAGAGTTCATGTAGCTTTCTGTAGCCAGTCACCGTGGAATCTCTGTCCGCTCAACCTTGCCGGTGAGCTGTATCTAAACTATGACATCGCCAGACCACCTTAAGATCTAGAAAGTGCAGGTTGTGTTCATCAGGACCAGTGTGCCCGAGCTCCCTAAAACTGGAGAACATTTGACACGGAGATGAGGTTGTGTGGGCTCCACGTTAAAAGCAGAGAGCACGTGGTGGCTCTCCCCTTTAATCCCAGCACTCGGGAGGCAGAGGCAGGCAGATCTCTGTGAGTTCTAGGCCAGCTACAGAGTGAGTGCCAGGAAAGGCGCCAAAGCTACACAGAGAAACCCTGTCTCGAAAAACAAAACACAAAAAACAAACAAAAAAAAAGCAGAGAGCAGTGGATGAAAGGTGCTTAACCGGGCGTGGTCCACCCTCGGGGGTCCCCTGCAGTTCCTTCTCTGTGCTCCACGCTGTGCCTCATGGGAAAGGTGAGTGAGGCACATGGCTGGCAACAGTCTTGGAATTAAATAGCACAAATTCTTATAAAGAGAGGTTATTTGTAAAGAACAAATGACTTTCTTTTTTTTTTTCCCTCAAGGATTTCATTTTTGGAAAAGTCTTCATTTACTCTGTTGTGAAAAGTGCAATGCTTTTTATTACCATTCTGAGGCTTTGGAAAGTTGCATGGTGGAAACTTAGTTTTGTTTCTTCTTTAAATAATTTTTGAGACTCTTTTCCATTAAAAAAAAATCTATTTTTTTTTTAAATGTATCCCCATTTACTTTCGAGCCTTAACATAAACACATTTCTCAGAATCTGGTTAAGCAGAGACAATGCCATGCCTGGGGTAGATCGGAATCCCGTGTAGGTTTCCCGCCCGGGGCACCTAACAGAGATATCATAGTTTAATTTCACTGAGAACGAGGGCAGGCAACTTTTCCTTGAAGAACTAGATTTATAGGTATTATGTTTATTTTACAGCTACCACCCTTTTGAAATTAACTAGTTATTTATCAGTAAAATACTTTTAAAATGGAAATTAAACTCTCAAGTCCTTTTGCTGTCAGTACTGTAATAATGACTTGCACTTTGACTCACTGGTGTGTTACAATAATTGAACAGCTTGACGTTTCTGAAAAATAGTTTTGAGTTGTGACTTTACCTTTTTAAAAAAAAAAAACCCGTTTTCCTTCAGAATTACAAATGAAACTGTCATACCCTAGAACCATTTTCTTGAACGTGGAGGGAATTTTCAGTTTATCTTCCTCTCCTGACCCCATCACCGGGTAGTTTTGCAAATGCCCACACCCAAACGCGAGCCAGGAATAAATGGGTCATTAGCCAGCGTGCCTCGGGCGTGTGCGTTTCGTTGAGTTTTCACTCAGGAGGCTCCAGGTCTCCTCCACAAGGACTCCGTGTTCTCTGCCCAAGTGTGTACTGGCTAGAGATGGTTTTGCCTCTTTCATTTTTGTGGGAGTGCGTTTCTAGCGATAATTCTTAGAAAACTTTGACTTTTACCTTTTTTCTTACAATATTGACTTTTGTTCCTGGGTGTGATTCAGTAACTCTCAAGCTCATCTGGTGAACACTATTTTGAATCTTAAGAGGCAGTTTGGGATGATGTCAAGCTGTGGGCGATGAATAAGTCAGCTCAAGTACTCAAAGCTTTGGGCACACGGTCGCTCAGTAAAGTCCTTCATCTACATCTGTTTGCAGCATTTTGGAAGCCAGCATCCTGCCTTCCTGATGACTAGGTTTTGTCTGAATAAAACAGGAAGCGATTCTTATCTCTGCTTTTCAGGGAAGGGATTAATACTCAATTCTTGTTTACATTTTAACACTGTTGCCCACTTTATGTTACTTTTTGATTATGCTTTTGATGACGTGATCAACGTGTATATGTAACCAACCTGTGGCGTTTTCTGGTCTGTCCTGTCTTGTAAGATGATGCTGAGATTTGCCACTTAGGGGATGAGGCGTCCATCACTAGCCAAGCATATGTGAACACACAGATATTTAAGAACTAAGCAAACGAGGAGACGATTCGGACTGATGGAAATGCTAGCTCTCCCCTCCCCCAACATGATTTGAGTGTATTTCTTATGGGATGCACTCTCATGGAAAGGACTTTCTTAATTGTGGATGTGAATACGTTTCTCAAATAAAAGTTTAAAATTGTAAAATAGTTTTATAATAAAGTATTTACATTAATTATTTTAATATGGATGGAAGTTGCATAAATTATAATTGTTAAATATTTAAGTCGTCTTTCGAGAGAGTTTTGAAAATGTGTGTAAGTGGTTCTAATAGCCGTTCAATTGCTTTGTGTGACTGAAGGGGCTTGTGCACTCTGCCTGTCCTCACTACAGGTTGCTACCATGGCCCTGCAGGCTGCTCAACTGACTTAAGAACTATTTTCTGAATGTTGATGTCCTGTAATTTAGTGGTTTGTGATCTCTGTGGCAGTGCTCTTCCCACCAGGCCTAGGAACTACCAAGTTTATAGCATTTGGGGGAAAATGAATTTCCATAATTGGGTTGCAGTCTTCTCGTTGAGTTCTGAATTTGGAAGGTGTAGGCAGGAGGGAGTTGCTGAACTGTGAAATGGGCACGCACTGAGGCCGACCTTTGAATGGCCGACTGTTAGTACCACTCCACTTGAGGTCTGATGTTTAAACAGCTGTTCATACTTATCTTCCAGACCCTTGACCTTGAGTTTTGTATATTTGTAGCTGCAATTATCCTTTCTCTTCCCCCTAAAATGGTTTAATTGCCCAGAAACATCCAGTCCTTTTTAGAATGCGGTTACCCTTAGGGTGGTTCACCCAGATTCCTTTACCAAGCATGCACCAGGTCGAGCGTTTTCAGCCCCTCTCCAGTCTACATCTGTGAACCAGTCAAGACTAACCATTCCCAGCATCCTGTCTAGGTGGAGTGGCTGCTAGGGACTTCTTTCCCACAGATCTACAGACACCTGCACTTAAAGCTGTTAAGGAGAGTGTTTGCGTAAAGATTAAATGGTAAGTATGGCGTTAACAAAGAAGGCAGATAATTTTTGACTTTTAGGCTGAGACCAAGCGAAAGTGAGGTGAGGTCAGATGTGTAGAATTGTCGCCTCCAGCTGACTCTCCATCTGGGTGGCAGTTATAGACAAGGTAAAACAACGCTCAATTCCACTTGTGCTCGTAAAGGTATGCTTAGCGTCTCCTCTAGAACAGTATTAGCATAGCGTCACCGTGGTCAGCCCTTACTGGTGCGAACGTTTCAGACCTCGGATTTAAATCACCAGTATTTCACATTTGTCAGTGGATACGAAGTTACTCCTTCACTTCAGAGTAGTCGCATTATAACGTAAAATACTGATGTTTGGAGGAGGAGTCCACATCTTTGATGGCAATACTGAAAGTCTTCCAACTTGTTTGGCCAACTTTTATTACGAGCTGCCACGATTCATGCCATTAAGTCAGTAGAAAGTCAGAGGTGGTTTTTTTTTTTTTAATTTTTAAAAATGTATCATTGTGGTTAAGCTTTGGCCCAGTGTCCACTTACAGGATTAACAACAGTTTCACTATTGAAGGTAGGGTTTGTGATCCCCTGTAGAGAAGGGGAAAGGCACACACAGACACTTTGCTGTGGGATCAATACTGGAAGACGTACAAAATTATGGAAAATTGCACCCCGATTGTGTCCGCGGTAACTACGGGCAACAGTGCCAGCCCCGCCCCCCTCCCCCATACTTGATGAATGAATGTATTGCTGTACTTGGGTGTAAATGTTCTAAATGTCTCCAGTTTTCTTTTTCAGTGTTTGTAATTTGTACGTTGACAGGATATTCTTGGAGTGCAGGGGTCATCACTGTGTTTCTCGAATCATTTAATGTGATATACCAATTTTTATAAGTGATATTTAGATAATTCCAATAACTGTATATTCGACAACTTATTAAAATGTTTTGCATTGGAGTTTCTTTCGTTAATTACCACATTTGAACAAACTCACGGTGTAAAAGACACTCAGCAAATGCTGGGGTACTGTGGCATAAACGTGGTGTCATCGGGAGGGATTCACAGATGACTGAGTTGAGAGAAACTTGCTCATTGAATGAGGGTGAGCGGGATCGATTTGTGTGAATGCTTTTTTTTTTCCCTATCATACAAACTAAAATCTCAGGGAAATTGGTGCTGCCGTGAAAACGCTATGGGTGTTGTCTTGTTTCGTGAGGCAGACTCATGTAGCCCAGGCTGGCCTCAAACTCAGAGATCTCCCTGCCTCTGCCTTCAGAGTGCTGAGATTAGGGATATGGCCACGACGCATGGCTTTAAAATACTGTGATTTTTGAAACGTTAACTTGGAAAGACTTGTGTCTATTTAAATTTTGTGGATTGGTCTCCTACTGAGTGGCCCCGGTATTTTCATTCATTAAGAGGAATTAGAGATATTTATCTGCTTTGAGTTTTTGATTTAGAAAAGTTATGTGGGGGGGGGGGTGTACAGGAGTGCAGGAGCTCTTGGAGGCCAGCAGTGTCTTGGGTTCCCTGGGAGCTGGAGTTCCAGGCAGTTGTGAGCCCATCCACGTGGTGCTGGGAACTGAACTAAGGCTCCCCGCCTCCTGCAAACTGCTGAGCGTCTTTCCAACTTCAGTCTTATATTTAAGTGTGGTGCTTGTGAACACATGCTGTGATTCATTTGAACACTGGAGGATAACTTGGGAGAGTGAGATCGCGATGGGATCTGGGAGGCTTTTGAGGCAAGTAAGTGCCTTTAGCCACAGAGCTACCTTGCCCATCCACAGTTGACTTTTAAACGAGGTTATCCCATAGCCCAGGCTGGCCTCCGAACTTTCTATATAGATGAAGCTGGCCTTGAATTCCTGATCCCCCTACCTTTACCTCCACAGTTCTGAGATGATGATGATGATGTGCCAACATACCTGCCTTGAGATTTTAAAAATAGAGTCCCATAAGTCTTTCTCAAGATGTGTGCTCTCTAGGACTGAAGTAAGGCAAGTGATGGGGCTAAGCTGCTCCATCAGGACTATACGAGGAACCAGTGCGGACAGCATGGAGAGGCCATGGCCCCTCCTTGTCAGTCCATACTAAGTTAATACTCAGGGAGCCATGATGCCCTCACATCTGCCAAAGTAAGTCAGTACTTTTTGTTTGCTTGTTTGTGTGTGTGTGTGGTTTTTTATTTTTATTTTTTTTATTCAAGACAGGGTTCTCTGTAGTTTTGGAGCCTGTCCTGGATCTCGCTCTGCAGATCAGGCTGGCCTTGAACTCACAGAGATCCGCCTGGCTCTGCCTCCTGAGTGCTGGGATTAAAGGCATGCACCACCACCACCACCCCCACCACCACCACCACCACCACCACCACCACCACCACCACCACCACCACCACCGCTGCCCAGCAATACTTTTGTTTTAACTGGCTAAGACAGGCTGCTCAAATCCTGCAGAGACCAGAATGTCACTGCCATAATCCCCGAGTCATAGGCTAAGTACCAAGACTACATGCTGACGTGAACCAAAAGTGAAGTCAGTGGCTTGGCTGAGAAAATGCTGAGTCTGGCCTCCGGGGCATCTGTGGTACTGCTGGTTGTGGGATTGCACTTGTATGCAGCAAGACTTGGACATTAGCCCCCCTGGGTGTGGAGATTGCGGGACCCGGTGGGCTACCTGGCCAGAGCTGGTACAAAGAAAAGAGAAATAGGTAGGGAGGTTGAGGTAGGAGGATCACCACAAGCTTAAGCCTAGCCGGGGCCACAGAGTAACAACCCCGTCCCCCTTCTCAAACAGAAATTAACGGCAGAAAGTGGATTTGAGATGTGAGAGGATGCAGCCGGAAGTGGCCCAGTGGTGGCCCTTCTCAGGGGGAAGGTAGGATCCTTAGCTTTGTGCAGACCTCAGCTCCACTTTCCGCTGTAGGTTTGGCGTCCTGGGATGACAGACTAGACTCGACATTTTCTATTATTTGTGCCTTGGCCTTTGCGCTACGATTGCTGACAGCTTTGCCAGTTCAAGGAGCATGGTCTGTGTGAACCACAGCATCCTGAACATCCAAACGCAGCCCAGCTATGGCCCAGCTATGTTCGTTGGAAATTACCATGATCTCTGAGCTACACCCGCAGTCCTTACGATTGTTATTGAAGGGCCTTGGGGGGTAGGGTGGGGTGGGGTGGGGTGGCATGGTGGATAAGAGTGCTATGTAAGCAATAAGGACTGGAATTTGAATTCCCAGTACCAGTGTAAAAATAAAAACCAGCCATGGCCTCGGGCACTTTTAATCCTAGCATTGCGGGCAAAGACGGGCAGATCCTGTCTCTTGTCAGCCTGCCTACCTGAAAAACTGAACTTCGAGGTCAGTGACAGAATCTGTGTCGAGGCAGTAATCAGAGAGCAATAGACACCACCTCCCTGCTCTAGCCTCTGAAAGGGCAAGCATCCAACACCCCCACCCCTATACACAAAACTATTACATGTTAACAAAACTGACAAAATCCCTTAGGATCTTTCCCCCTGCAGTTCTGGGAGCTGAACTGCACCCCCACCGTGCCAATAAAAATTGACAAAAATGAACCACTTATTTTGGAAACAATTGCAGTTCGTAACACAAATTGCTATTAATAGAAAACCCAGAGCCAGATATTGGGGTGAATGCTGAAAGATCAGAGAAACAGAACAAGCCAGCCACATCCTTACCTCTACGAAATCCTCAGCCTCAAGAGAGTGAGTTCCTGTCTCCTCACACCTTATATACCTTCCTGTGCCCTGCCATCTTACTTCCCCAGATTAAAGCCGTGTGAGTTTCCCAGTACTGGGATTAAAGGTGTGTGCCACCACGGCCTGGCCGAGTTTCCTGTGTGGCCTTCAACTTAGAGATCCAAGCAGATCTCTGGCTCCGAGTGATAGGATTAAGGGTGTGTGCCACCACTGTCTGGCCTCTATGTCTAATCTAGTGGCTGACTCTGTCCTCTGATCCCCAGATAAGCTTTATTGGGGTACACAATGTATCACCACAGCAGTTTGTGTGCCAGGTATCAGGTCAGTTCTGAACAGTGTCACATAGGGCAGTGTGGGTCAGGATTCCTATGGAGACTTACACACACACACACACACACACACACACACACACACACACACACACCATTTGGGAAAATGGAAGGCAGGTGATTGGCTGGGCAGAAATGGCAAACCAGAGCTGACTGGCTAGTTAGGGCTCTCCCTGCTGAGCCATGTTAAAAGTCTACAGATAACTGACTTCAGTTATTTATCCAGATCTGGAACATTCTGTGGCTTAACCGTCAGCTGTAGTTGTATCTTCACAGGATAGGCCCAAGGAAGGTGTCGGTTATAAGCACCTCACCGTGCAGCATGAGGACCATAAACCTGGATGGAACAGGCGTACGACTCATGGGTTTGGATGCCTTTCAGAGAAAACCCTTCACACCTAAAACCGCTACAGTGCCTTGTGGCCCTCATCAGCTTCAAGTGGCATTTTTTTTTTTTCACTCCCTGTAGCACTTGGCTCCAACTCATTGTCATTAAGTCAGAGGAGAGAACAATTCAGGTAATTGGTCGGCCTGGCCACTCCAGCAGTAATGGACACTGCGTCTCTCTCCAGTGTAATTGGCTTAACTCTGTAGCATGGCTTAAACAGAGTGGGTGGATCTGCCCCTGTGGGGTCCATTTCAGTCTCTCCGTTAGGAGACGGACAGTTGGCTCTGCGCTCTGGGGTGCAGGGCAATGAACTCAGGACATTCTCTGCATAGGCTAGCCTAGGACTCGAGAGAAAAGGGTGTATGCAAACAGGTTGCAAACTACCGTTTGGCTTGTATAGGTTGCCAACTCAGTCTCCGTGGATGGCACTGGAGAGGGGCTCTGATGTTGGAGGCCACAGCACAATCAGCCACAGGCTCCATCCTCAGATCACTTTCTAGCCAAGGCCAGGCTTGTCTTCTCATGGTCCTTGGTTTCATTGGGCAGCCCTATCTTATATACTGGATACTTATAAATACCCTTAAAAACATCCCTTTTGCCCCTTACCCAGATTCCTATTTGTTACCCACCCTCCTCTGTGTAGTTTTGGTGCCTGTCCTGGATCTCACTCTGTAGACCAGGCTGGCCTCAAACTCACAGAGATCCACCTGGATCAACCTCCCAAGTGCTGGGATTAAAGGCATGCACCACTACCACCCGGCCCCTCCTCAGTTTTAAAGAGTGTTATCCTATGCATCTTATTCATGAACTTCCTCAGTGATGGCAAGTGACGGCTGATTTTTTCCCCCCACGTGTACAGAAACTTAAGAGTTCATGACAGGGGCTGGAGAGATGGCTCAGTGGTTAAGAGCACTAACTGCTCTTCCAGAGGACCCGGGTTCAATTCCCACCACCCACATGGCCGCTCACAGCTGCCTGGTAACTCCAGTTCCAGGGGACCCAACACCCTTACACATTACACAGACATACATGCAGGCAAAACATCAATGCACATAAAAAAGAAAGTTTGTGACAGTGATTTTTGTTCCGTATTTAGCACAATGTTAGCTCACAAAGTGACTGTCAAACTAACTTTTCTCTTGAAAGACCAGGTTCAATTTAGGTGTGAGAGTTGCTTGACTCTAATGCAGTATTTGAGCTCCAACATGCTTCTTGGTTATAATTACCACCCCCACCCACCATGTGCTTCTCATGCGTTTCCCCTAGAGGAGATGCTGGAGCAAACATTTCTCTTTTGTGTTGCAAGGATGAACACCTGTCCTAGGAACTGTATAAAGACAGGTTCGGGGCTGGGAATTTAGCTGAGTGGTAGAGCACTTGCCTAGCAAGCACAAGGCCCTGGGTTCGATCCTCAGCTCAAAAAAAAAAAAAAAAAAAAAAAAAAGACAGATTCATTGGGCGCTCAGTTTTAGAGGCAGAAAGGTGACCCCCATCTGCTTAACTTTAGTGTTCTGTCTGCGTCATGG